TTTTTTTTTTTTTTGGTTTTCAAAAAAATCAGCATTAAATGTTGCCCTAAAATATTGGCATTTGTTACTTTTCTTTCAAAAAATCGTGCTACCTTGAAGAAACAACATTATTTACCATAAATTGTCGGCTAACTAAAGTGTCTTGTTTGGCAACTATTATAACTAAAACTAATTATGGTTGATTCAATCTTGAAAAGGTACAACAGTTTTATTCTTTTTTTTTTTCAAAAAGAATAAAGAATATCATTAAAAATACAAAATATGAACTTTAAAGGTAGAAATTATTCTGCACGTTTTTTAAAATACGTAACTTCATTAAAATAAGTATTTGAATATCCTCCTATATATTATTTCCGAATGCGTTGAGCCTACATGGCTGCTTCTGGTGCTTTAGAATCCTACTTGGCAAAGAATCATGCTTTGTAATTAGGTTTGGACAAATAATATTGATATATTAATAATTAATAATTTAGGTTTGGATATTCCATAAATATTATTTAGCTAACTTAGGTATTTTAATATCACTTGTACTAATATAACCCTTTATTTCTTTGTAATTTTACATACTGAGGCACTATGTGACTAATATATCCCTGACTTTTGATTTGTTTCCTTCAATTAGCTATTGAATTATAAATGTATTTTAAAAGTTGATAACTTTTGTATTTCTTATCGGTTTTACATATATAATATATCAAATTAATCATCTTTTGATGATCTTTGATTTGACATCTATATTGTATATATGAAATAAATAAATTTAATTTATCTTTATAATAATAAAAAATAATAATATTTATTAAAATTCATTAGAAAAATAAAATTATTTTCAATTGATATATTTATGTTTAATGTAGTTATATGTTGTAAGTTTAAATAATTATTATAATATAACACATGTAAGTTGCACAAATAAAAAGTGTTATATATAACACTACAACAAAAATTGCATTTAGTGACACTTTATTTTTTATTTGGTGACGTTTATTAGTGTTACAAATTAATTTACCTACACTTGCAAAAGTGTCGCAAGTTGCGTTGCTAAATTTGATGTCACGAATTTATTTGTGACATAACCTAGATGTGTAGGTAAACTTTAATACGCGACACTTTTTCAAAAGTGCGTCGTTAACACATAATTTCGTGACACAATATATTATTGTTAGTAATTTTCAATGGGTGACTCTTTTTTAAGTGCGTCAATATTTTTCCAATGGGTAAATTTTCAACTACTTTTTCTCATTAATTTTTAGATTTTAAGAAAGAATTAGCAAACACCCGTGTAATACACGGACGTTGTACTAGTCAGTTTTGAAATTTGAAAAACCCCATCAATCACAAGATTTACAAATTCAAACTCCCTAAGATGAAGGATTTCGTTAAGTTTCAAATTCAATATATCAAATCTCAAAATAAAATAATACGATTTGACATGTTATATGTATCAAAATTAAATTAGGACGCCGAGAGTATGTTTGCATGCAAATTTTTTTTAAAAAAAAAAAATCAACATTTTAACTCAATCACTTTTTTTAACTCAACTTACTCATCCTCATAACCATCAATATTATCAATATAATTAAATAATCTCAATCAATCATTCATACACACCACACAACCTTAGTTTACTATTCATTCACATTCACTCACATCTATACACATATAATGAGAATTGCCATTTTTAAAAAATGGCAGGTCAACTATATGGTCAAATTCGCTCATCATTAATTACTTTCCATTAATGACAACCTATATATAGAAACAGAGAACACATTTACTAAAAATAGTAACAAAAAAGTCAATCAACATTTATTGCATTATATTTTCGGTAGTTTTTAAATTTTAATTTTTAAAATATTTCCAAAAAATATATTAGCAATATATGCACCTTAAATTCATGGGTTTATGGATTTAATTAGGTAAATTTTGATTGATGCTTACAAATTTGCAAAAGTCGAAATTTTTCTTTTTTATAAAAAAAAAATGTTTACCATAAAATTGAGAATTTCGAATAGCCAAAATATTATTATATATATCTTTTCCTAATTGCAACATATCAATTGTTTGTTAAAAAAATCGAATTGCATAAAAATCATGTTAATTTAGGTAAATTCCGGCATGACAATTTTGTAAAAGTCAAAATTCTCTCATTTTTAATAAAAAAAAAAAAATATGTTTACCATATAATCAGGAGTTTCGAATTAGGCAAAATACTTATAACATATATCTTTACCTAATTGTAACATGTCATGTTTATTAGAAAAATATAAATTGGATTGCATAAAAATTATGCCCAATTTCAAATTGAAATTTAAAATTTAAAAATCTCATATCATTGGGCTACTACTTTCTTTAGTTCAGATTTTTTTTTTAAAACTTAAAACAGAGTCCGATATTATTAATTTGAAATACAAAATGAAATCGAATTGGAACATCCTAAAAATTTGGGTTTTGTTTAATCCTATAGAATAGAAATTTGAAATTGATTGCATACACGTACACAATTTTTTCTTCCTTAAATTAACTAATTTACAATTTTAAAATAATAAGGCTATAGATTATCAAGAAAGACGTTTTACAATCTCATTTATATTTGGCTATGCAATCTTCATAAAACCAATATATATCATATCATATATATCCTGCTAAATAATTTAATTTATTTATAAATAATATCATATATATAGGTACCAAGTGTTTATTTTCTTAGTTATGGTTTACACAAAGGTAGGTTGTTTTCTGTATTATTTGTTTTCTGTTTAATAATATATAAGTTACATTTGTTTTATTCTAATACATGCGTTTTACGTTCTTCCAATTATCCAAATATAAATGCTCACCTTAATAAAATTAGCCCGTGCATTGCACGGGTACCACACCAGTTATTATAAACCAGAACAACAAAATAATGTGACATATATCAATAATACAAAATAAACATAAATTAATAGAGTGAAATTAAGACATATAGAATTTGTTGTGCTAATATATATATATATATATATATATATATATATATATATAAATGTTTATAGAAAAAAGTACAAAGCACATATACAAAATTATACATTCAAATATAATTATTTCTACCGTCCTCTTTCTTCTTTTCAACTTCTGAACTTTTTCCACTTCAATCATGAATTTTGTACTAAAAAAAACATAAGTTTGCAGACATTAAAACAATTGTGGCACTTTTGAATAATTCAACCAATTTTTATTTTTTTTTTTCTTTGAGATTACCCCAAAGTCGTGTAAAATTCTTTGTCGTTGAAAAAAAAGGTCATGTAAAATAAGACAAACCTTGACCACTTTGTTTAATGAGGAATTTACACCCAATACTATCATAGATATTTTATATTACATATTTACACCTAATCTATACTTATATAAAAAGCTATCATATTTACTAAAATTAGTAGCAAAAAAATAGGTCAACATTTAATGCAACCAATAAATAGTAGTTTTATTATTTTTCTTATTTTTTATTTAAAAGTCATATAATTTAATTTATAAATACGGTTTAATATAATCATACAATTTAATCATACAATTTAATTTATAAAAATTATACAATTTATTTTTTCTTTAAAATACGCTTTAATACACACACACATATATATGTGGCACTTTTTGTAATAAATTTGAATAAAATGTGTTACTTAAATATCAAAGCAATTTAAACATTCAAATGTTTAAATTAATTGATAAACAATTTATAAAGCTCTATTTTATTTGATTTTATTTAAAATAATCTTAAATATAGCAAAATTTATTTAAAAAATCGTATCGATCCTACCAGTTCAACCGACTAATGTTGACGGATTCAATAGCAAATATTTTATTTAAGTGAACTAGACTGATTATAAATTGGTTCTCGATCCCTCCGGTCGGACTGTGTCCAACACGGTTTAATTTTAAAACGATGGGTAAATCTTAATTAATTTATTTGTATATTTAATTTATAACACAATCGTAATATTGTTTTCCCGTGCATCGCACGGGCCACGCACTAGTTAATATTTATTTGCAAAGATACAAAATCACCCCAACATATTTTTACATATACCAGATTTTATAAGTTTATTAATTATGATTTAAATATGGGAATTGAATTGAATCCGTTATATATGGATTAATTGAGTTAATTAATACATTTTTCTTTTCTTTTCCTCCTCCTATTTCTTTTTCTTATTATTTCCTGTCACTTTTCTTTTCTCTTCCTTTATTTCTCCTCCTTCGCATATCCCCAATTTCTTCTTCCTCAAACCAACCTTCTTCACTGCAAATTACCTAGTTCAATAAAATATGTAATGTATACCTATATATAGGGCAATAACACAGGAACTACAGAGTTTAGGGCCTAATCTTAGGGCTTGCTCGTTGATAGAATAA